ACAGAGTTGTGGTAATTCAGCAACATTAATTGGTATTTTTTGTTCACGAGCAGTTGCAGCTATTTTTTCAGATAATTTTAAATCATTATCAATAGATGCTAATATCAAATCAATCTTTTCAGTGGTCAAATCATCTACATGAAACTCTTTATTTTTATATATAACCAAATCATTATTAATATAGCTGGTTACTTTATTAGAAGTGATCTTTTGCTTGGGAGAGATCAAGGTGATTTTTTCAGGTTTGGTGTCTAAAATAAATTCTATTCTGTTTGCAATGATATGATTCCCGCCTATAATAAGTACGTGGCGACCTTTTAAACGCCATCCTATTATTAATGAATTGGTTGATGACATTTTTAATTCTGATGATTATTTTATGTATTTTTCAGAAAAATATAATTTTGAATAAAAATTTTTCAGAAAAATAATTTTTTTGAATCTAATTTTTTTTTTATAAGACGGATTTTTGTTCTGTCAAATAAATGACGTTGTCTGAAATAATTCTAATTTAAGCAGTGATATACATATTTTTAATTAAAATAAAAATATCTCTCATCTGATAGGCTCAAGTTGGAATGGTTGATTTGTAAGCGTCAAAAATAATTGATATCATGTTACAAAATTGCAATTGGTCAATATTGCATAGTGATATAATGATGGATGAACTTTTAAATGGAATAGGCACCTGATTCATAGTATATATGAATATTCCAAAATCTCATAGTCTTTAAATAAATAATTGTCCATTTTACAAGTTATTAAATAATGAATTTATTTTAATTATTTAAAATGTGTTCTTTTTTTGAATGAATTGAATGGAAGGAAAATAGATACTTTTAAATTTTTTTTGGTATAACGTATTCACAAATTGCATAGTGTATATATATATATATTAGTCTAAATTTTTACCTATTTATTACTGATATTACAATTCTATTAACTTGATAAAGAAACCAAAGACCACATATACAAAGGAATTATTAGGTTATCATTTTGATGTGATGCTGTTTCCAAAAGAGCTAATAAATAAAAATTAGTAAAAAAATAAATATAATCCTCATTATCACAATATAATTAATAATGTAAAAGACAAGAAAAAGAAAACTTACCACTCAATGATACTTTTATTGTATAAGTAGTCCACTAAAAAAATATAGCTATTCAGAAAAATATAATTAATTATAAAATCAAAAATCACGAGTATTATATACTTACATTTTCATTCTTTGGCCACATATTATCAGCCATCCAAAATTTTGATAAAACAAATACACCCAATAATTGAAAAAAAATGAATGCAACGAATCCTTCAACTGTTTTAGATGTGCCTGGCCATTTATGACAACCATACCTTCTACCAATCACTGAAGCCTATATTATAATTATCATGATTATTATAATACAATTGCTAAATATTTATAATATAAATATTTATTTAGAAATTACCATAGAATCT